TGGGTGGGTGGATTAAGAGCAGGACTAGAGCGGGGTGCCCTACCCTGCCTCTTCAGGGGGAACCTTTTGGGTGGAGGAAACTTGGCCGCGGCGGCTGCTGCTGCTGTTTTTTTTGTTTTCCTTTCCTTTCTGAGCTATGGGACCGGCGATATTTGGCTTGTTAGATCCCTGTTTTCTCATATAGAATTTGAGGTTAAGGAGCCTGGGTTACGCATTTGGCTGCTAACCTCAGGGTCAGCAGTTCGAAACTACCAGCTGCTCCGCGGGAGCGAGGCTTTTTACATCTTTTAAAATATAAGCAGTGATGTATTCTAGAGCGATTTGCAGCTGACTTTAGTAGTTGCTCGGAGAAAGCCCTTGTTATTGACTGGCCATGTACATTGGTACAGATAGACCAGGAAGCTATCCCCAAACTGAATTAATACATTCTTAAGCAAGTGTACTATCTTTCAAAGGCCTTATCACTAAATAGCAACCTTACACCTACCAGAGTTTGACATTCTTCATTCACACCCATACTTCCCCAAACACAAACAAATCACAAAAATCCCATAGCTACTACTTGGAAGATAAACCTTCCACTTTCCACTACCACTCCTGAAAGGCTATTGAGACGGAGACAAAGGAAGGGAAGTAAGAATGGGAGGTGGGTAAGGTGAGACAAGAAGAGAAAAAATTGGAGAGAAGCAAAGCAGTAGAGTAAAAGCAGGGGGCCTATGTAGACAGGAAACAGCTCTCTCGGACATTAAAATGGACTGTGCACTGCTAGTTACCTCCCTCAGTCAGCATACTTAGGAGTATTGTGTCCAAGATCGTGTATGTTGGAGTTCCACAATCCACTCTTTGACAGGCCTTCTTCCACTGCTTCCCATCCCAAATTTTGTCAAACATTTGGGCATGTTTATTTCTGGCCTATTGTCTCAGATATTGGTTGATTTGGCAAGTTAGAAAGCAGAGCATTGAACAGGCACTCCTATAAAATCCTCTGTTTAAGCCATTTGAAAGCTTTTGTTTCTCCCAGCACCCCTCACCCCTATTTCTTCCTCTTTCCTTTGGTGAAGACTGATGATACCTCAAGTATTAATGACGTTGTTTTAAAGGACCTGAATGTTTAGCTCTGGATAGACGACGGAAGCCTTACAAAAAGTAGTTTAGGTTTAAATTTTTTTTTAATTTTAGGTATTTTAATTGTAAGTTTGCAATATGTCAAAATCATTTGGTAATAGACAAGTGACTTTAAAACTATCAAGGTTGTCAGATGTTGACATAAAGGGTTACAATGGCAAGGAAAAGGAAACATTGCTGACAAATCTTTGGTTCTTCCAGAGTGATTTAAGTGAAGAAGTTGGCTTCTGAAAATGGCTACAGGTTTCTGGAATAAAGAAGACAGACAAGATTGTGCAGCAGCAGAATTCCAAATTCCCAAGGAACTGCCTGGTCGTTTTACAACTTCTCTTGTTCATTTGGGGACTCTATTAAGTGGGAATGATTTCAGCCATTTGAAACCAAATTCTTAAGACCAGACCCTTTGTTTCATGTCTAAAAACTTGGCAAACATCTGATGGCTTTTGAGGGGCTGAATATAAAAATATTTGTACTTCAGGATTTAGTATATTAGTCAAGGTCTAACTATGATGTAAATGTATACAAATAATAGTAGATGATGTGAATAATATGGTAGAAAAATAAAGTGAAGTATTTATAAATTCAAAAGGGCAGGACTGTGTTAGAAAGGAGTAAAGTGTTTGAAAATTGCACTGAGAGGTTATGGAGAAAATGCAGTCCCATAATGCATTGACTGAAAGTACCGAATTAATTTTTACATTAAGCAGGACTGTGTTTTGAAAAGATAGTTAATGGATACAGACATAGAGAAAATGCATGTGTGCCTGCTTATCTGGAAGCTGCTTGTTCTACCTTTAAACTGATGGGTTCCCTAAAATAGGACTGTGTTTCAGAAATATATTTTTCGTCTTATGGTTGCATTAAAGATTTCTGTGACTAAAGTATGATTTTTATGTGTGTAATGTACTTAAATACCTCAACAGGTACAGTGTGTTTTCTCATTCAGCAGATATTTGAGCGCTTACAGGTAGTGTTTTAGGGATAGCAGTGAACATGACACAAAAATTCTTGCCCCTTCCCAACACTTATTGCTGAAGACAAAATGGGTGCCTATGTAAATGTGGTGAAGAAAGCAGATGGTGCCTGGCTATCAAAAGATACAGCATCTGGGGGTGTCTTAAAGGCTTGAAGTTAAACAAGCAGTCATCGAGCAGGGAAGCAACTAAGCCCACATGGAAGAAGCACACCAGCCTCTGATCATGAGGTGTCGAAGGTATCAGGTAATAGGTATCAAAAGATCCAAAAAACAATTATATCGATGCAAATGAGAGGGTTCGGAGTGGAGACCCAAAGTCCATCTGTAGACAATTGGACATCCCCTCACAGAAGGGTCACAGGAAGGGATGAGTCAGCCATGGTGCTCATTTTACTGGAGTGTGTGAGGTGATAAGTGGAAGTCTTGGTAGAAAAGAAAAGCTGACCTCTTGTAGTTCTGAAGGAGTAGCAGAGGAACGTATGTCTGAGGTTGAGCCATAGAAGAGAAGTGCTCAGTGATTCATCCAGGGCGCAGTACAGCAGTGACGAAACACACAGCTTTCCTCTAGTTCTTGAATGCTTCCTCCCCTAAGTACCATGACCTAAGTTCTACCTTATAAATCCTGGTAGACTGGAGTATGTACATTGGTACAGTTTAGATTTCTAGACATATGGGATCCAGGAAGATAACCCCTCAGATACAGTAGTGGGAGTAGTGACACCATGAAGGTAAGGGGAGGGTATTGGCGGGGAGGAAGGGAGAACCGATCACAATGATGGATATATAACACACACACACACACCCCCCCCAAGGAGGGAGAATAACAAACGTGGGTGAAGGGAGACAGTAGATGGTTTTAAAATATGAAAATAATTATAATTTATCAAGGATTCATGAGGTTGGGGGAGTGTAAAAAGCTGATACCAAGGGCTCTAGAAAAAAATGTTTTGAAAATAATGATGGCAAGACATACACAATTGTGCGTGATACTGTTGATTCCTGGATTGTTTTAAGATCTATAAGAGCCCCCCAGCAAAATTTTAAAAATGAAATTAAAAATCAATTCTTGCCTTCATGAAGTTTATATTCTAGTTTTACATCTCATGCTTCTATAACTATAGATATATAACTATATATGTTAGTTCATGAGTGAAGGAGCCATATTTGACCTCTTCCACCCTACAGAAGGAAGGAGGAGAATCCAACTCCACAACTGCTGAAGGTTGACTCCTGTAAGGCTGAGGTCAGACACCTTCACCTTCCAACTTCCCTTCCCCTACTCTGAAAGCACTGCCCTCCCCGGCACTCTCCTTCTCTGCTGAGTTCAATAATCCATTACAAGGGCCACACTGAACTGAAGACGACAACACCCTCATTTATGAATTTTGTTAGGGAAGCCAACAAGTTACAAAACTCTAAGGATCGAGTTTGTTCTCAGCACCTCAGCCATATTGGCTAATCTTTTGACCTCTCAACCACATGTGACAAGGAAGACTGGGGGAAAGTTGATGCCTTTGAATTACAGTGTTAAGTACTATCGCAGAAGAATGAACACATCTGTTGGGGAAGTACAGACAGAATGCTCCTTAGACATGAGATAGAGACTTTGCTTCATGTTCTTTGGACATCTTCTCAGGAGGGCTCAGTTCTTGGAGAAGGGCAACCTGCTTGGCAGAGCAGAGGGTCTGCGAAGGGGAAGACTCAAAGAGCTAGACTGACATAATGGCTACAGTGTTTTCAAACAGTGAGCCAACCATGTTGTACACGGAGTTCTAGGAGTTAGAACTGATCCAGAGATCTCCATATGGTCACAACTGGAAAATCAAGAACTCAATCTTTGCTACAGATATTAGCTAAGAATTCATGCCTATGACTAACCTGTACCACGCTACCTCAAGAACAGTGCCTGTTTAGTGCTCACACTGTAATGTTTTTAGGAAGTGACTAAATGTTATACCAAACAAAGTTGGCAAACACTGCAACACAAACATCAAAAAGTAAACATCCATGTGATTTTAATTGGTAAATTCCTGTGTCATTTCTGTATATTCCATGTATATGAAATAATTGTCCAATGGTTTTCAGTGAGCTGGCTTCTTAGCAGTTGTGAGAAAGGCTCTTTGAGGGGCTCGCTAACTTGAACATTTTAGGGTGTGAAGAGTTCCACGTACACTAACCCAAACTCCCTACCACTCAGTCAACTGGGACTCACAGCCACTAAAAATTAGTCGTAAGTCTTACAGGATGAGATATGGTGACTGTAGGATATTCAGGGTCATTGAGCGATTCTGCTGCAGGACCTGGAGCCTTAGGGGTGTGGTGCGTGGGTTGCCCATAGGGGCAGTTCTAAGTTCTGTTCTTGGTCGGTGTGGCATCGCTGTGAGTCAAATGGACTTGATGGCAGTTTTGAGGATGCTTAGAAACAAGATTCACTAAACCAGATCTGGCCTGCTAGCCTGCTTTTGTGCAGCCTCTGACGTAAGAATGGGTTTTACATTTTAAATGATTGGAAAAACCAAAATGATTTTATGACACATGAAAATTAGATAAAATCCAAATATGTGTCCAAAACGTTTAATTCGAATTCAGCTAGGACAGTCCATTTATATATTGTTTCCAGCTGCTTTCGCATTACGATGGCAGAATTGCCCGGTGGTTACAGGACCTATGGCCCACAAGCCTAAAATACGATCTAGTCCTTTACAAAATAACTTTGCCGAACCCTCGAGGACCTACATTTAGACCTTGCTGGAGTTTAACTATTAGGAGCCTCCTTTGGTAACATAATCAGTGAAACTACACGAAGCCTTAAACTTCATATAGAGTTATCTTTCCCACTGATCCAGGCTGAGGGGCCTAGGGGACACACTTCATGAATTCAAAGAAAAGTCCAACAATATTAACTTAAAAATCTGTTTATCTTAAAAAAATTTTTTGAACCAGAAGAAATTTGTTTTTACTTGAAAATATAATGTTCTGAAAACATTGAGCATGACATCAACAGTTGGATGTGTTAAAAAAGTTCTCATAAGCTTACAACCAGATGAAAACATTTATAAAAATAAATAGGCACCTTATAAGTCAAAGTTTTACATGATTAGTGTGGGAAATATATATTCAATCTACATCTGGAATATTAAAGCAAAATAAAGACATGTTTTGTACTACCCACATGATTCAGGAGGCATCAACTGGACAATATGTTTAAAATGCCAAAATTGGGCATTCTATTTGATGTTGATAATTTTGAGTTAAAAAGACAAATCTATGCTGTTAAATTATTAGAAATTAATTTGTGTCACAATAATAATAATACACTTTCAGCTGGATATCTTGAACAAAGAGAAAATAGAGAGAAAAATGACCCAGACTAAAGCTATTAAAAATGTGACATACATCTACTTCTCTAATATTTTACAATGTAATAAAAGCAGAAATTATATAAATGATATTTCATATAATTTTACAAACATCACAATATTTACAAATTTTCATACTAAAAATTGTTAAAAATAAACTTAAAGGATAAAATTCCATTGATAATTCAAGTATTTCTAAATTAAGGGACTATCAAGTAATAATCAACTACTATTAGAAAAGTCGATTAAAACTTGAAAATTCTCTACCAGTGGAAGACAAAATTTGGTCAAGATCTGGTAATTGGGTAAGGCCAACCATTTACAGATAATTATTTGCTATTACTCTAAAAGCAGTCATTTGTAATTAATTATCCTTTGGAATATTTTTACACAATTTAAGAAATCAGTTAAAATATAAAAGTTACTAATTTTTACAGAATTTTTAAGTTATATCTATTAATTTTATCCATTCTTGAATGAAATGCAAATTTTACTTTCATAATTCTCACGTCTCTGTAGAGAGTAGACAGTATAAACCAATTCTAACCCAGTTTAGAACAAAATGACAACTAATGAAATAAGGTAACTAAACGTATTTTCACTTGTAAGGTCCTTACAGTAATGGAAAAAAATTTTTTAAGCAAAAACCCTATCATAAAGTAGGTGGAGTAAAATTACTGGTGGTTTAGAGTAGAAAAAAGGAGAGGGACACTCCATAGGATATTTCATTGAAATTAAATCCTCTACAAGAACAGCAGAAATTTAATCTTGAAACCCAAGTAGATTTACAGATTCAAGAATATGAACATCAAGAAATTAGGCTGACAGCTTCAAATCAGCAAAGACTAGCAAGGAAATCCCAGGCAGTCACAGTGACCTTCCCAAGCAGCTCGCCTTACAATAATTACTGACATTGGTTATTAGCAGCCCAAAGTAAACCAAACAAAATAAAAACCTTTCACATTCATATAAAATTAGAAACAAAATGTAACAAGTAATATAGTAACTATTTTAATTATATTTAGCTTACATGGCTGAAGTATTTATGAACAAAAATATTTAGGTGTATGTTAACTAGGCATTCTGAAAATAAAAGTTCTAGATGTAAACTATCATGACCTTGAGAATTTAAGAGCTGCTTATCATTAAGGCATTTTCTCCCCAACACTATGCATTTCATGGATGAATTTTTTTTAAGACACTTAAGGGGATTGTATGTAGTAGACTATCACAGAAGTCAAAAACAAATGGGTGAAGCCCTCCTTTGGTTACCCATTAGAAAGTGCTTCGCATAAAGCAAATAATGCTTTATCTAGACAATGTATCAACCTGTTGTTTTTCAATTAGCATAGTTACCAATCTGCACAGCTGGTAATGGGTTGGTTGAATATGTGTCCACTAGCCACATACTAGAGAGATAAATGTACTTTTTATTCAGCTGCAGCATATGGCAAAAGACTTGTTACATACCCTGATTTTCTATTTTTCAAGGCATGCAAAACTATTAAAGGTAACTTCTAAAATATTCAATAAGTTGATCATCACATGTAAAAATTATACACCTCACTTATTGACTACCTTGTTATCTGATCTTTTGAACTTATCACAATAAAAAAATCTATCTTGCACATAACGTGCAGCTGGCAGTAATGAAAGCTGAGGTACAAGGGGAAGGTAATGCTAAAATTGAAGGTTACAGATAAGTGTCAATTATGGTTGGCCATGATTCTGAGTGGTTTGGCAGTTATGATAAAATCTGGCAGTTATGTAGTGATGTTGTCATCCTCTACTTTTGCATAATGCCAATTTTTACAAAATTACCTGGTCTTTGGAACCTACCCATATTAGTGACAAGTATGTACATACATAATTTAACCATATATACATGCATACAAAGTTAAAGTGATTAATAACTTTAAAAATGCCAGGATCCATTTTCTATGGCCTATGAGACCTCTACGCTTGCCAGTTTCATCATTTATCTATTGAGAATACATGCTACATTTATCTTTGTTCACAAGGACAACCTGAACCAATTCTATTATGTATCACGGGTCCCTAGGCCCTCTTTCAGTCTGAGAGAACGAATTATCATTTTAAAAGCTACTGCTCTACGGAAAACAGAGCTTAGGCCTCTGATGGTATTTCAATCTATATGTATCAGTCATGCAGCTATCAACGGAAAAATACGTAGTTAAGGAAACGGTCTCACTTGGACCCGTAGAACTAGAACCTCCTCCTTCTGGTTGGCAAAATGCCTCACCGACTGCACGTGTGTCTGCCTGAAGATCATTTGTTGAAGAGCTGGACAGGCAGCCTGTGTATGTTTCCTTAAGTCTCTCATCACCCATGTAAGCACTCACTCCTAAACCTGCTTCTGAAGCTGTACTTACACTGCTCTTTGGAAGGCTCAAGGAATTAGCTTTAAACATCTCTGTAACTTTGACATCAGGTGTCGGTTCCTTTTTCTCTGACTGTGGCACACTAGATGCAGCATATTTCTTTGGCGGCAAAGGGGGTGGTAGGTTCTGGTAAATAAGTTTTGGCAACTGGCAACCATCAGACCTGCAGGCGGATGGAATTACATGTTCCCTGGGTAGTGAGTTCTTAGAGTAACTTTGTCCCACTGTATTTTGCTGCTGTGTGGTAGAAGCAGTTTCTGCCTTTAACCCAATAGCTCTCGCCTGTGACAGCCGTAATGGAGATGGTGAAGTTCCTCCATTAGTGTCCACTCTTTTTCCAGAAGCAGAGTTGTCACCAACACGAAAAGGCAAACCCGTTCTCTCAGAATTTTCCATATTTCGCCATTCTGAAACTTTGTATTCACTTGATTTTTCAAGGTTCTGGTCACCTGACTGATGGATCTGTTCTCTTGCAGTATGGTCCTTGAGTATTTGTGAACTGGATGAAGGGATTAACTTTCCACTGGTTTCTTGTGTATGGGACCTGAAATGTGAAAACAATATAAAACATGAAAATTCCTTAATAATAAAAACAATCTGTAAACGAAACTGAAACATATGCAAATAGTCAAAATGAGAAAAATCAAACATTTGTCTGTCGTCTGACTCACCAGTATGTTGTTAGGTACCCTGGAGCCAGTTCAACTCAGTGACACTGTACAACAGAAGGATACCCTACCGGGCCCTGTGTCATCCTCACGGTCATTCCTGCCAAACATGACAGCCACTGTGTCATTCCATCTTGTTGAGAGTCTTCCTCTTTTTGATGACTCTCTACAAAGCACTTCTACAAGGACTGGTCCCTCCAGGAAGCATGCTCAAAGCTCTGGAAACGAACTCATGCCATCCTCACTCTTAAGGAACATTCTGGCTGTACTTTTTTTCAAAAAAAGATTTGTTTGTTCTTCTGGCAATACCTGGTATTTCAATATTCTTCACAAACACCGTAATTCAGAGACATTGATTCTCTTTGGTCTTGCTTATTCAGAGTCCAACTTTCACCTGCATAAGAGACAACTGAAGATATCCTGGCACGGTTCAGGCATATCTTAGTTTTTCAGTGACATCTTGTCTTTGTACTGTTTTAAGACTTTTTGTTTTGCTTTTTTTTTCAGATTTGCCCAATGGAAGTTTTTTTTTTTTGACTGCTACTCCTATTGGCAATGATTATGGATCCAAGAAAAATGAATTCCTTATCAACTTCAGTATTTTCTCCATTTATCGTGCTGTTGCTTATTGGTCCAGTTGTCAGGATTTTTATTTCTTTATATTGAGATGTAATCTATATTGAAGGTTTCCTAACATACTGTATATTATTTCTGTAGCATTATAAAAGAAATGGTAACATGTCTTACCATTTGTGGTCTCCAGATATTTATGCCAGAATACATGAATGATTACCAGAAACACTTTTCATTACTAAAGTCAGACACCCAATGAGAAATACTGTAACAGTAAATTAACGAGTCTTCCTCTAGTCCTAATGCTGTTTTCTTTATATAGTCCAGCTTCTCCGATTATTTGCTCACAGCAAAAGGGATACATTCTTGAAGCAAACCTTCACATGATAGCCCCTTGTTTTATTCAAATGACTGTCTTTGTTCTACACACAGGCTCTGCATGACTACAAGTAAGTGTTCTGGAATTCCCATTCTTCTGAATGTTATTCATAGTTTGTTGTGATTCACACCTTTGAATGCCTTAACTTTGTCAAAACACAAGTAAACAAACATCTTTCTAGTATTTGCTTTCAACCAGGATCCACCTGATCACAGCGATTATAGTCTTTTCTTGAATCCTGCATGAGTTTCTGGCATTTCCCTGCTGATGTACTGCTGCAGCAGTTATTTTGATTACCCTGAGCAAAACTTTGCATGCATGTAATATTAATGATATTGTTCGATAATCTCTGCATTCTTTTGGATAGCTTTTCTTTGAAATGGGTATATAT